TTTGAAACAGGCTCATCTGATTATAGAACTGTCGATTTCCTCACAATGTATGGCACCAAAATTCCAAAGGCTTCCGATAAGAAGCCTCTTTCTCTCAAACGCGCTCAGGAACCACCACAGTAACCACAGGGAACAAGCTTGAATTACTTAGAACAATGGGTGTCAGGAAAGGCAACAAACTGGAGTTTGTATTTCTTTAAGTTTGTATTCTACGGTTCACCTCGACTCTCACTTCTTTAGCTGGTCCAGGTGCAGCACTGACCTTCCAGTCACCATCATTCAATTCCACAAACCCACTATAAACCATTTTTAACTGTCTAAATCTGGGAATATCTCACTCTAAAGATCGCAACTTCTAAAATCACTGTTTTACTGCAGTATAAAGTGCTTCCATCTTTCAACCATATTTAAAATACAGACCATCTCTCATTAATAAAGACATCCAAGTAGTTCACTGCATACCTGATTCCCATGGTCAGTCATGTGATCACAAGTCAGTCACAGTGACACTGGAGATAGGAGGACACAGACAGATTTGAGAGATACTTGGGAAGTTGAGACCCAGCATAGAAAAGAAAGAAAATGAGGTGATGACCAGGTTTATGGCTAAAGTATCTGGGTGGCAGTGGTACCATCCATAAAGGCAGAGAAGAAAAAAGGGTTTGAGGAATGGACAAAATCATTGGATGAGTTTTGGCCATGCTGAATTTGGTGCCTGCAAGAGGCACTCAAGACAGTTGGGTACACTAGGTGCATGGGCTTGAGGCAGGGTGCGTAAGTGAACGACCTTGTATCTAAACCTTGGACCTCAGCTACATTTATAAAGTAAGGTGTTCCAGATAATCCCTAAGGTGCCCTCTAGCACTGTAACATCAGTGACTCCAACGACTTTATCAGCCATCTTATTATTTTCATTTTATAACTCTGGAGTATCATGTTATCTGTGGGCATTTTATTTTAAAAGCATCTACTAACTAGCTGGGGGCCTGTGGATTCATACAAGTTTTTTTCTTTTATGTTTTCAGGGGTAGTAAAACTCACTGGCCTCCTCTACTGATAAAACTCACAAATTTAAGTCTTCTGGACTTTCTTGGAAGACTTTAAGAATTGTGTGTGTGTTTGTGTGTGTGTGTGTGTGACAGTGAGTGTGTGTGTATCCATCCATACTGTTGAAAAATTCCTTAATTGCTTTTCACAAATTCTTCCACCTACAGATTTAGTAATTTGAAGAGACACTTCCTATAGCATGAACAAAGAGGAAAGTAACGGAGCACACACAAAAGGGGGTTGTTTGGTAAAGATTTGTGTCATACTAAATTTTAGAAAGAAAACATTTGAACTGGTATCTTGCAATTTGGCAACACAAAATTAGTGACAGAAATGACAGGTGAGCAAATCTCCTTCAATTTTGTGGTCCAGAGACAATTATTTTAATCATTTCAATACTGGATATTTTGAAGTTCTTCCTTATCCTCCTTCCTTCCTGAATGCATTCGCTTCTTGGTTGCAATAAATTATTTTGTTAGCAGAACCAGTCATTCCAAGTTTGAGGGAAGAGAGCACTGTGAGAATGGTGACATATTCAAGAAGTAGCCTTGATCATAAACCCAACTCTGCCTCCAAGGGCACACTTTATGTCTTAATGTGACCTAGGAATGACTGGTCACCACTGGGCGTGCACAAAAGGTTCACCTGAGAATATGGTCTTGCTCTGCTTCAGGGGAATTATCCCTGCTTTGGTGAAAAAGCAGGGAAAAAAGCAGGCATTTCCTTCTAAGGAAATGCCACCACTACAACTGGACTGTGTATGTTTTGGGGGCTTCCTGGGGGCAAACATGATGACCTCCTGAAGCACTATTACAATTTTATCCTCCCACCTTCTAAGACTCTCCCCATGCCACATGTGACACAGGGGCCCAGAAATAGAACAAAAGGGAGTAGGAATTAAAAAAAGATCACCTCATAAAACTATTCTGGCTTAAACTCACTTGAAGGATTTGACTATATCATACGGGACACGTCTAGACCTAACACAAGGCATCAGGACTAAAGCATGAGCTTGGGAGCCCAAATGTGGTTTAGACCAGGGGGTCTTAGACCATGAGGTCTCAGGACTACTTCCTAACTACGATGTCCACACCTCTCTTCAGTAAGATGAAGATTAATACTTACAGGTTACCTGAGGATTAAAAGTAATCAAGTGTAAAATACATAATAAAAACAGATAAAGAAGATCTGGAGATGTGGCTCAAGTGGTACAGCGCCTGCCTCAAAAGCATGAAGCCCTGAGTTCAAACCCCAGTACCAAACATACTTACGCACGCACACACCACAAAAAAAACACTGTTTCAACTACGACTTCGTCAGGCTCAAGAATTTCCCTAAGACTCAACCCTTCAGGGCAGTTAGTTTTAGAGGAGTCAACCCTGGCTTTCGCCCCACCAATACCACTGTGACTTACTTTGTTTTTGACACCGTGTTGCTGGCCCAGCAGTAACCGCAGATTCAAGCTCTTTGATGAAAAACCTCTCTACTTACTTGTGGGCATCAACCTGATGTGAAGAACGTAAAGTAAATTTCTGGTAACTACGAACACATAAACTACACTTTGTAATTCATGGCAAGGGGAGCTGAGTTTTCAAACGAAGACAGCTGTAATGTAGAAACCTAAAAGTTATTCTAGTGTTGAGACACACTAAGTCTTCTGACTAGAGAACTGTCTTAATAATTTTTCACTTGTTTGTTTATATTAGAAGTGTCTCTGACTGCAACACACACACACAGAGTCATTTTGAGAACTGCTTGCTACTCCTCTTTAAGGTGGTAATCTAAACTGATAAATAAATCAAGTAACAGACTAAACAAATCTGCATACAAAGAAGAGTAAACAAGCCATGAACTTAGTTAAAAAGATGCCTTTAAGGAATAAAATTTTTAAAAAAACTGTTAAGAAGCTTCCATTTTTACTACTGTGTTTTCACCCAGTAATTCTCTCTTATTTAGTAACTTGATACACTTTTAAAAGAGTAAGAAAAAGTCCTTTTATATTTCATGATGGGTTTAATCAGGTAATTCCAGGGCAGTAAAATCGTTCCAACAAATTCTTATGATATTATCTGATACGTCCAATTACATGAGTATGATGTAACAAAAACCGTTACAAACTTATATGCATATTTACATCACATACTCAGAACGACCACGCCAGCAACTATCGGATGAGACACGTTAGGACATGAGTTAAACAACTTTTCGTTGCTTGTGAGAAAGAATGCAGTCAAGCTCTTTATGGAAACAATGTACAAGTGAGGCACTTTGGAGGTCAAGGGCACAGAAAGTAAATGACACTGCACACCGGAAATGTTCACAAAAATTGTGTCTCTGTCATACAAAGCCTTTTCAACTAGATTACGCTTGAAAAATTTCAAAACAACGTATGCAATTTAAGAACCTTTCAGGAACAATGGTTAACAAACATCAATGAACCCAGGTTTTACAACCACCTGGCTGCTAAGCAAACAGTACCTTGAAGCCCTTTTTTGTTCTTCTTTTGGTTTATCTAAATCACCTCCAGTTGTGTTTTTTTCTAAAAAAAAGAAAAATATTTCTTAATGTTTGACTCACCACAAAACACCGTATGGTGCTATTGTCACGACTTGTAGACATTTTAAGTGCAACAGTAATGCAAGTTTCTAGTGCTTTTTCCTTTAGACTTAGAAATGTGTTCAAGGGTGACAACAATACTTAGTGAAGAATCTGGTTTGTTTTTTGTTTGTTTACAGTTAATGAAAGTTTCTAAAATGTTATATAGAAAATGTTATCACTCACTTAATGCACCTTTGGGCTACAATTAAAAAGTACATTTCAATAAAGAAAGAGCCTTGAAATTCTGTGCATTGTGTGAACTCTGGATACGTAAGTGTATATTAAGAAATATCTCTGCACCACTCAATTCAGGGGGAAGAGGAGAGGAAAAAGAAAACTCACGACTCACCAAGCTATCAAATGGCACTGTACCCATGGGTTGAAAGTGCACTTGCATTATTTCAGAAGCTCACTGTAGGCACTGCTGAATAACCAATGGAAATAGGTAGTTCAAGGTTTCCCCTTTAAACTTTAACCCCTGCCCCATCGTCTCACAAATACACACACCTCTCTAAAGTTGTCATAATAAAATACAAGTGACTAACTTTATTATTTTTTTAAATTCTCCCTGACTGGCAACAGGAGGCAAAACAAGAACACCATTTTGGGAATGGCTTGTGAGTTAAAGGAACTGGTTCTGTAAATGCCTCCATGTATTCATTAGGTTTGATTGCCAGTTCCAAGTATCAATAAATATTTTAAAACAGGAAATGTAAGAAAAAAGTGCTTAAACTCTTTCAGCGACCAACAAAATGCAATAGGGAAGGGAATCATTTTCCATTTCCTTTGAGATACTTCTCACCCCTGGATTCCCGGGGAGAAGGTGGGCACCACCTGAATAGCCCTTTGATGGTAGCAGTGATAAACCCTGTTGGATCTGGACATCCCCCAGCAGGTGGCGCTGAAGCTCCACGTGTACACTTCCGAAATTAAGTGAACCAACCCCCTTCCAAGCCAGGAGAATGTCCTTTGAGAACTAGCAGTTGCAGCACACAAGCTCATCAGGCCAAATTAGTTTTTGTCATGCCATTTAAATGATTTCAATTTTAATATTTCACCGTTTTGTTGAGCCATTTGTTTATAATTCAGACAAAAAGAGAAAAGTCTTATAGGAAATGCCAAATGGCAGTGCCAAAACTGTGTCCAGAGAACCAAGGAAGTGTTCCTGAACACAGCTGAGAATCCGAGGGCTAAATTACCCATCTGTCTTCCCACGGGAATGCTGTTACTCAAGAGAGAATCTCCACACAGGGGTTCAGGTACCATGTGGTCAGTTAGCTTTCTTGACTGATTTGGAAACTGGGTATGGTAATTATCCAAGGTGAAATAAAAGCCATTTCATAGCCATAGTTTTTAATGAAGAAACTTGTTTTAAATTGTAAAGGAAAATGGGAATGGACGGCAAAATCTTAGCAGCAAAGTGGTTAAACAAACTGAAAATATTAATGCACAAACATTACAATATTAAAGCATAAATGCTGCATATAAAATACAGTACAGAACCAGAGCTGCACTATGCCGAATAGTGCTTAACAGAAGAAACGGCTGATCTTGTTCTTCCCCAAGTATGTACACAGCTTTCCACAGCATTTTCCCATGTCACCAGCAAGTTATTTTCTTCAGTTGTTCACACCTTGCTCAAACCTGAATTATAAACTCAGCACTTACAAATGTGGATATTCATCCACAAGGAGAACCAGTACTTCCATTTCACTAATAAAAAGGAATCTTGAAAGTTAACGCCTGTTCTAGACATCAGGCTTTGCTGAAAGCCTCAGGATGGAGCTGATCAGGCCAGCAGTGCTCAGATAGCTAAACAGGGAAAATGAGACTGAGAGCTGCTGCCATCCTGTCCTGTTGTGGATTTAGTTCATCCAACTGATTTTTAGTACAAAACTAGAAATAACCTCTTCTTCATAACATCTATAGTTATCAATATATTTTTCTTCTTTTCAATGTGAAATAATACTTCAAGATGACCTATATACACAATGCTGTCAGTTCAAGCTGTCATATAAATATAAATGCTTTCTTTAAAAAAAAGTATTTTACAGACAGTGTTATATACAATTGTTCAGTTTGATGTGGGGCAAAAGAAGAAAGCTAGCACAAGCTTAAGTGTGATGCACAAAGCGAATGACACAGATGACATTTCAAATCTGCAGAAGATGAACTTCAAATGGTAGCGTGATTTTAATTTCTATCACCTCTGAAATTTTGAGCCATTTGAAAAAGTAAAAAGCATACTTCTCAACTTTATCCTTCTAAGGGTATATTCTTAAAGAATCCCTTACTGGTTAGAGTTTTAATGTAACAGTTAAAGAGAAGGAGAGAGACAGACAATTTGACCCCAAAGTACTTCAAACAGTTTGCTGGGACATGTATCCTGCCTGCTTGTAAATCAGTAAATTACACAATCACTAATATGCACGGTCAGCAGAAGAAAGAAGTCTCTATGTACAGGATAGCCATTCACGATGCTGAGTCAAACACCTTCCTCAGATAGCTTAGTGTACATTTTAACACAAATTCGTTTTGCTTTTGGCCAAAGTCAAAACAAAATAGAATGTATCACTGAGAAACTCATTCCTGTCTTGTGAATAGTAAGTGCTGAGGGTTAAGCTAAAGACTTGAATGACCCAGCTGGACATGCAGCTTGGCGGACACACAGAAGGCAAGGCAGGAGGACTCAGCTTCTCACCAGCCGTCCAGCTGCGCCTTTTGCCTTTGAAGCATTTGTAAATGCAATGTAAGTTTTCGAAGGCAGAAACTCTGAAAGAAAACAACTTGCTGGTTGAATACCACAAAAGACAAATTAAAAAAAAACCCTCACCTTTTTCTATGTTTATTCAGTCTCTTTATATAAAAATAAGTGTTACGTTCCCATCAAAACATTAGACAATTACATCTGTGCTTTAAAAAAAAGTTGGTCACTCAAGGCTACTAGAGTATTTTTAAGGATTTCAGATTACCAGAATGTACAGATATAACTCAATATAAACTGTAGCCAAAGAGAAATGAGGATGAAATATCAAACCATTCACATGGAATAAAAGTTATTAACTAGATGAGTTAAATATTCAAAGTGTGTGGAATGTGGCAGTAGATAGGTCTATCTACTTTGGAACTAGGAAGGGCAAGAAAAGTTTAATATGCAATAATTCGTACCTTACATTTAGTTAAATATAAACATTTGTTATTTATACATAAAACTGCTTTCAGAAAACAACAAATGGTTTAGTTGCACTTCTTTTACCTCTTACAATCCCTGTGTTAACTTGTCTTAGACTGAAGTCAACGTCCCCTAGGGCACTTTTTAGTTCTCGTCCTAATGAATTCAAACCCCCAATGCATAAATATACAAAAATGCCAAATATTAATCCCTTTTAGTTGGATCATATTTTATGCTGACTTTTATCGTCAATAATCAGAAATGATTTCCTTCTGCAAATACCCTACAACCTGTAACAAGACACGCCATGCACCAAGGGAAAAGTCAGGCATGGCTAGCTTCTGTGAAATGCCAAGAACTGGCAAGTTCTGCCTCTTCCACGTGTGGCCCCAGTGACACCAGGCAAGACTCCATACTGCTTGCCAAAGCTCCCAGCAACCCCAGTCAGCTAATCCTGGAAAGATATGAAGCTCATCTAGCACTGGGTCGTTTCACCCAGCAGCTTTGTGCTTCCCACCACAGCACCCACACGCCTCCCCACAGCGATGGCACACCGTCAAAGGGACATAGCAGCACATACATGGCACGATGAAAGACAAGGCTACCAGGGCTAACCATCGTAAGCAGAACTTGTCATCACTAGTGTCACATGAACAGGGGTCAGAAAAATCTCCCTCCGAGTCTGACATACAGTGGTACAGCATGCTCTCTGCACAGAGCATGCAGCTCACATGATGGATGCACCTCTTGATGGGGTCTGGGGCGTCCTGACACTTCCCCCGGCCATTCTCCTCGTGATTAAACCTCTCCTGGCAGTACACGCAGCGAGAACGTTCCCCATCCTCTTTTCTTCGTTTTGACTTCAATTTTAATGGGGCAGGCTGGGTCTTAAATACCACAGAGTCTTTCAGTGAACTTAACTTAGCCTCTTCCTCACAAGGGTAGAGATAGTCTGGTTTTTTACTGCCTGGCTTAGAAAACTGAGGAGTGGAGTCAGTATCATCTCTCTCCAAATCACTCTTCCACATGTCAGGGTGTCTATAGTCCGCATACCGGCGTATTAAGATATCACGAGGATTTATTCTGACAATCTCATCCTCATCTTGAAAGCTGACATGTCTGATTGATTTCAAAGGGACCTAAAAAAGAAAGAAATGAAAACCCCAGTAAGCATCAACACTAAACCGTGACATTTTGTGTGTCAGCCTGGTGGAGCAACACAGCCGAAGTATTTATTCAGAGGTTATTCTGGATCTTTCTGTGGTGTGTTTTTTGGATGAGATCAACATTTCAGTGGTGGCCTAGGAGTGGAGCACAGTATCTTCCACGGTGGCCCTCACACAATCAGTTGAAGACCTTATTAGAATAGACTGAATTCCCCAGAGCAACACAAAGTTCTGCCTGCAGGCTGCCTTTACCAACTTTTCTCTGGTAATCCTTGGGGCTTACCATGTAGACTGTGGGATTACCTCCACCACCACCATGAGCCAGTCCCTTAAAATAGAAGAACTCTTAGTTACACTCCTGGCTCCACTTCTCTGGAGAACCTGGACAAATAAGAATTTGGTACCAAGAAGAGGGGTGTCACTATACCCAGAATCTTACAAAAGTGGTTGAGACTTTGGAAGTGGGTAACTGGTAGAGGCTGGAGGAGTTTTAAGGTGCATTTTATAAAGAAACTTGAAGAGCCGGCTGGTAGAAATGTGGACTTTAAAGGTCTCACTGGTGAGCCTCAGATGGAAGCAAATGTTCTGCTGACACTGGCAATCCTTGCTGTAATGCAGCAAAGACCTGGATGGACTGTGCTCGAGTGCACTCAGAAAGAGGGCCTTGTGGGTGCTCAACATGGGTGCTCAGCAAAGGAGAACGCTAAGCAAAGTGCTGGAAAAGGTGTGGCTTAGTTTCTCTTTGTTGCTTACAGTAACATGAAAGAATAGAGAGAGAAGTTGAATTGTTAAGCAAAACAAAACCAGAATTTGAAATTTTGGAAAATTCTCAGTCTAACCATATTACAAATATGACAAAGTGTGTTCTGGAGACCACCAGGGGGTGGTTGTGCAATCCTAAGACAATGTGATATTCTGTCAACAGGGACTTTATAAGGGACCAGAGGCAGGATGAAATAGAGAAAGACAGTGGACATCTGGGACTCTCAGGCTGTGCTGCAAACACATATTATCCTTCAAGAAGAAGGTGACCCTGAAGGCAGGGCTAACTCCTTGCTTCAGAGGCCCTGGAGGGCAGAGTCAAAGAAGATTCATCTCAAGTCTTAAAACCTAGTAAAAATTTCTGTGCTGGGTTTTCACTTGCTGGGGCCCATGGTACCTTTCTTCATGTCAAGCTCTTGCTTTAGAATGGGGATGTCTGTACACTGTCTTTGTAGTGTACAGCAGTAATCTGTTTTCACAGGGCCACAGCTGGAGAGGAATTCCACCTCAGGATGGAGTCTCTCTCACACTTGGTTAGAAGACATCTGGAGCTCAGAGTAGATGCTGGAATGGTTAAGACTTGGGTTGATGGGATGAAGGTGTATGTATTTAGTATGTGAGAAGGGCATGAATTTGGTGGCCAAAGGTTCAAAGGTGGGCTGAACTGTGTCCTTCCTAAATTCACAGGTTGAGGTCCTAACCTCCAGTATCTCAAATTGTGAAGGTATTTGGAGACAGGGCCTCTAGAGGGCTAAGGGAAAGGAGATGCCAGGGTGGACCTCAGTCTAACTGATGTCCTCATTAAGAAGGGGAGATTTAGGCACACAGATTCTGCTAGGGATAGAGGCACAGAGGACTGGCCAGTGGCCATCTACAGGCTAAGGGGAAGCTAAGCTTATCAGCCCCTTGATCTTGGGCTTAGCCTCCAGAGCTGAGAGGATGTGTTTCAGCCACTCAGCCTGTGGTGTTTTGTTGTGGCAGCCCCAGGAAACTAGGACTTAAATGTTCACAGCCTAGCTACATAGCAAAGACTATCTCTGAAAAATGACGCAAAGCAGCACCCCCCACCCCACCCCCACCTGCTTTCTTTCTCTCTCTCTTTTCTTTTCAGAACTGGGGACTGAACCCAGGGCTCATGCATTCTCAGAACGCTTTCTACCAGCCCTCATCTTTGTATTTTGAAATGCGGTCTTGGTAACTTTGCTTGGGCTGGCCTGCAATTCATGGTCCTCCTGCCTCTGCCTCCTGATTACAGGGCCTGAGCCTCTTCCTCTGGCTTCTGACTCTTACGCCCCAATTGGCTCTTTAGCCCTTCCCATCACCCACAAAGGCAGGTTTCTCCGGCCACATGTTTACCTCCTAGCTCTAGTTTCCACACAGAGACTAGTCAACAAGTAAGCACATAACCCAGGCTAGGCAAGCTCCTGTTATACAGATGTTCAAGACTGGGCTAAATGCCAGGTTTGGGCTAAAGAAGAGGTAAAGGGTTCAAGACATTAAATTAACAACACACATTCCTGTTGGTCCTAACTGGTAATAAATATGGACTCACAAGAAGTGAGATGGGTTTATAAGCATGTATGTGGCAAACGTAAATGCTGAAAAAAATCTAGTATACTTTGACTTTATGGGAAATGAGTAGAAAATTTCACCTACATGCTGATCAGCCACATTTCACACCAGAAGATTAAGTAACATTTCTTACCCTGTTTTGGGACTTGAGGCTTCCACATTCCTTGGTTATTTGCCGCTGTACATATTCCATACTTCTGCTCTGAGTGTCTAGGCCTGGCTGACTGAATGTTACCTGAAATACAATTTCTATATTAAGTGACAACAGAAAGGATTTCTTACTGTTAGTGAAACCATACAGTCTACATTCCAAAACTTCATAATCTTCACAGCCAAATGGTTTTTATAAACAGCATTTAGTCACTCTTTCCCCCATTTTTTGGGGGGGGGGTGGGGGACTCTTAGGTCTTGTCTTATATACTTTCAATTTAATTTACCAAGAAATATGAAGCCAAAAAAAGGAGACACAACCAAGTATCTATCAACTATATATAAACAAAATGTGATAGATCAAGAGAGAAAGCCCATCCTGAATGTACAGTGGCCTATTCTCCAACCAAAGTTAGAACACAGTACTAATACTTTAAGGGTAGGGGCAGGAGTTTCCTGGGTGGCAGAAATGTTCCAGAATCCAATCCTGTATTATAAACCATCAAAATAAGCACTTTAAAATGGTAATTTCTGGAGCTAAGTGTGGTGGTACATGTTTACAACTTTAGCACTTAGGAATGGCTAAGGTAGGAGAATCACAAATTTGAGGCCAGACTAGGCTATGTGGCAGGAAAGGAAAAGGAGTGGTAGATCTGATGGTATGTGAATTAACCCCGCCCCAAAAGGACACTTAATATCCTGAAGTTTCTTAGTCTTCTGAATTGAAAAAGCCTGTTTCAGAGCTAGATTACAGTTAAAATTTGTCAATGCTTAATTTTTAGCAAAAAGGAGAGAATAATATAATGAATTCCCAATGATTCTTCTTCGAAGTTGGTCACAAATGAAATTTTAATAGGATTCCACTTACAGTGGTGAAAGCAAAACGGTTCACAGGAATATATCTTATGAAAGATGTACAATACCTCTTCTGAAGAAGAAAGTTGTATTTCAAGATGGGAGAACTAAATAAAGTGATATACATTCGTGGATGACACTAAAGCCCCCTAAGCTAATACAAAGATTTGAATATAAACTATAAAAGAATTTTTCATTAAAGTTAGCAGGCTGATTCTTAATTTTATGAGCCAAGAGGAAAAACAAAGTTAAGGTCACTTGTTCTACAAGTATTAGTATTTACCACAGAGCTATAGTGATTCTACAGTAAAGAATCAGTACAGGTGCAGGACAGATGAGGAAAGAGACCAAGAGCTCAGATCAGAGACAAGATGCAGACCAGCCACACGTGGAGACCTGGTGCCAAACAGGAGGGCTGGGCACCAGCAGGGAAGGCATCCACAAAGGGCACTGGAAAAGTTACCGTAGGGAAAAAATACAACTGATACCCTATCATGGAAGAGAAACCAGTGAAGTATAGTCAAGACAGTGCTGGAAAACTCTGAGAACAAGGAGAAGATTCTTGAGATAAGCATGGGAGGATTTTGAAAAATAGCACCATCAAAGAACAACGAATTCAAATGCATCAAGATTTAGAATACCTGTTCACTAAAACACCGTGAAGAGAGTAAAAAGCCGTCAGCAACTAGGAGATGCTGCCCACAAGGAGAAGTTAAAAGGATCCATACTCAGAACTCACACAAGTACCACTTAGCAGACGATGACGATGATACTAGAGCATGTAGTTAAAATCAATTTGTAAAGGACAACCACAACCACAGCCACACACTGCCACCTACTCGATACACATCCCCTGTACACCGGGCAAACAGCAGCTGCACATGCCTTTGCAGCACATCCACTACTAAATGCCCTAAGAAATCCATGCACGTCACCAGCTGCTGGCAGGAAGTCTGTGTGACAACAAAAACCTGAAAACAACTGAGACAGCCATGAGCAGAAGAAAGGTAAATGGTATCTCTAGAAGGTAGGCAAAGGAATGGATGGAGATGTTAGCTTCTTTGGTGGTGTGCTCAGCATGAGCTGGAGATAGACACTGGTATTACCCCAGTTTACAGAACAGGACACTGAGGTACAAATAGGTTGTAATCCATATATCTAGCAAAGGACTTAGTCCCCAGATGAATACAAAGACCTGATGTGCAGATACTTTACAAGCTAGTTTCTGAGTGGTCAGTAAGCGTATGAAAAGGTCACAACACATTAGTAATCAGGATAATCAAAATCAAAGTGACAGTTCACTTTCAGCTACTGACCAAATCAGGAGAAAAAAGGAGAAAGGGTGGTAGCAAGTGTTCAGGAATTTTTGACCATTATGGGAACCCATGTTGAAAGAGTCCTTGTTTTTTTGTCATTATTGCTGTTTTTGAGTAAAACTGACACTACATGAAAATGTGCTATGGTCAGCCTGTGGTTGTTTGTATCTTCTGGCATACAACTGTGCACCAAGTGTCTAAATTCTTACACAAAGACCAAGGTGTTTGCATAACATAAAAATCCAACAATTTGGCCCTGTCCTCTCTGCTGCTTCTGCAACGTTCAAAAAGCTGTCTTTCTCCTGGATCCCATGCACCTGCGCTCATCTTGCTCCCACTGTGGTTATCCCCCAAATTCAAATGTGTGAGTTCTAAACTCCCATCGTGATGGCTATCTGGAGAGGGGCCTTTGGGTGATGGTGTCCTTTAAAAGAGGAGCCACAGACTTTGTCCTCCATCTTTCTCTACCAAGAAAGGAACAACGGAGAAGGCAGCAGTCTGTAGGCTGGGCCAAGGGCCATCCCCAGACCACAGCCGGCCTGGAAAGGAAACAAAACTCTTGCTGTTTTAGTCACCCAGCTGATGCTGTTTGTCATGGCAGACTAAGATGAGATACTCCCTGTCTACAGCTCTCCCCCACAACCTCTTGTCACTAGCCCAAGCTCCTCAAATGGGTAATAATCCATTTTGTCCTCAAGTTTAGTGGGGTTTGATGCAAAAAATGGGTGGGGGAAGACCCACAGGCTCCAGCAGCCTGTGACTGTCACAGACACTACCATGCTGGTGGGTCCTCCGTGCAAGACAAATTCCCAGATCAGACAAGGAGCAGGTCTGCAACATCACTCCCGAAGGCCAGGCCAGCATGCCAGCCCTGCCAGGCAAAGGCGCCCACCTCACACATGCTTCATCATAGCATTCCATCTTCCTCTGTGTGCATGGGGGGGAGGTGCTGGCACAGACCATGACTCACAGAGACCCTCGCTGCCCAAGGCAATGAAGGAGGCACCGAAAACCCAGACCAGATCCAAGTCAGCAGCTACTTCAATGATGGTTTCACTGCAGCTTCAATGACCAAGAGATGCCCAGAAAGTAAGAGACCACAAGATGGCCAAGACAAAAGATGGTCCACCAGCTGAGAATTCCACCCCTTGTGAGGCTGAGCGGTGCGGGCCCAGTAAGCCTCAGCTGTGGATTCTACCATCAGCCAGCAAGAAGAAGTGATGGCAAACTGTAGCCATGCGGAATGCAAGAGACACTAGAGCTGGACACCCTGCGTGCTCATTTCTGATCACTGAGTACAGAGGCTGCCTGCACTCCTGCAGCAGAAAGAGTTTTAACACTTACCTACACGTCAAATGTGCTTTTTCTAAAAGCCTACTTTTTCCTCAATGCATTTTTAAAGGTTTTAAAATTGTCAAGTCGGTAAAGTTGAGATTTCTAAGAACTTCATAAAAGCTTACAAATGATTTTAAAAAAAAAGCCAACCAACTGTAAGCACCTGCTAATAAAGATCTTAACTAGGGTTCTCTTCTCGCCTTGGAAGAGTGACGTGGAAGGACCCTGAGCCCAGGGGTCTGTACAACGCAGTGATGACTCCTCCCCCACCCTGAAAACAACAGGAAACTAACTTGGAACAAAATAAAAACAACAAGTCTATGTGGCTTGGTGATAATGTAGCTTGGTGGTAGAGTGTTCACCTAGCATGGACAAGGCCCTGGGTTAATCCCTAGCACCACAAAGACAAAACAAAGACAGTTTCAACTGTGGGATTGGTGCCTCAACCTCTGTATGTTCCAGAGCCAAATGCACATCTTGTGAGGTCATCCTTCAAAGCACGCTTTGGCCTTCAACTGTATGATGTGTCCTGCACAGAGCTCACAGCATCACTGACGGGTCTGGCTGGAAGCGTTCTTCCCTTGAACCCGGCCACACCTGAGCGGCACAGAGCAGGAGTCCACCCTAAGCAGCATTTCACTTGAGGTCTTCTCAGAGGGCTGCATAGGTAATGCCCAATTGAAACGCTTTCCTTAGGGGACTCAGGAGCACGCTCTGAGTTTCCAAGGAGAGCTGGAGACGCCCACTTCTGAGAAGTGTCTGCAGAATGAAGCTATAGAAGTTGTGCTTCTCAAGAGGCACGAGTGCGGTTTCCTTCTGGACAATGAAAGCGACACTAAACACATTTCCCATTTTTGCCACCATGAACTCTCTGGTCTACATTTGTTGTCACTGATTTGATGAACTGTCAATCATTATTCTTCCCATTTTTCACCTGTTTATTTTACCTGGTAAGCAGCAGGACATCTTAAACGCCTCCTCTAACACACCCAGTTTCCACCCTGTGCTACGAATGCTGGAAAGTACTGATCTCCTCACCTGATTGGCCTGGCTTTGCAAGTACACTCTTCTGGTGTTCAGGTCTTCAAAGGGAGATGGTCTCACATTTGCACTTCTGTAGGGGTCACTGGTCACAACCGTCTCTTGCTGGAAAAGGTGATCTTTCACTAGAGAACTGGAAGTATCCTCCTCAGCTGCCTGGTAGGAATAACCCTCAACTTAGTAGTTGCCAGAGAAAAATTCAACAAAATTAGACACTTTACTAAGCATTTAGCAAGTTCTAAGTGTATACCACCACCATCACAATGAGTGGCCATCCCCAAAACTCAAGTGTGTGTGATTAGGGACCCTATCAACATAAAACAACAGGAAACTTAGGAAAAGATTCCATTTTCTGAACAAAATGAGTTTTCTTACTGAAATGACTGAGAAAGAAACAGAAGGCCAGCATGGTGGGTAGAAGAGATCTCTAATTGTAATACTTGAAATGAACACATAGAAGGGAGGGACTTCCATGGAGGAACTATTAGGAAGAAAATGCAAATCAATGTAGCCTTTAATCTCAAGTTAAAAATGAAAATTGCAGCACGGATTACACCAACAATGTCTGGATGGACAGACACAAGGCAGTAGTCCATGGCCTTGTCCACTGAATACAGTAGCCTGGAGTTTCTGATTACTTGGAAGGATGTAAATCATAAGACTGGGCTATGCTCAGTTAATGACAGTCACTAAGGACACATTTTCATTTCCCATATAATAATTTCTACAAAAATAAATATTACATAAGTAAAAGATAGAACACTACAAACAAATCCTAAACTTGCTTCATTTATTTTTTAAAAGAAATGATATTAACTTCCTGCTAGAATTTTTTCCTATTACTATACAACTATTTTGAGAAGAAATAGTACCTGCCAAGTAGAAATGACTTAAATACTTTCACCAGCTATCCTAAAATAAGTCAAGCACTCACTCTAGGGCTGGCAATATTAAAGGTTCAGCCTTTATAAGGTTTCCATTTTCTAAAAGTTCTTAAAAGTATGTTGGTAAACTGAACAAGATGGGGTAGGAGAAAGGGGTGAGGAAGAGTATGGAGGCTGATGACAGTACAATCTATTCACAGGTAAAATGCCACGGGAAACCCCACGGAACAATGAACAGACACTTTAACTGTGGACAGGAATGAAGATGAGATCGTGCATGTGCGTGTGTGTGGAGGATGAAGGACAGTGATTTCTCTCCGTGTTATGAACTGGGAGTACTGACATCTGTAGGAGGGGAGTAGGGGAAACTGCAAGCCATGGAGGGATGAACCAAGGTATGTTGCTTGTTGTATGCATGTGTGGAAATGTCACAAGGAAACCCCTGCACAGCTATCATAAACTAATAAAAACGTTATTTTTTCTAATTAAAAAAAAGTTGTGTTGGTGCTACTTCTAAAATTAGCCAATAAAATGCATGAAATGACTCGGATATTTTGAACTGATAACACAACTTCTGGTTCTTGCTTTGTAACAAAGTCACCTTGTGTCATTTAATTTCTTTAATTTCTTCAGTAGTTACTCTTCTCAACTGCAAGCTAGCTATAACACCACTACTGTTTTACTGTTTTATGATACTGGATTGTCATAAGACCTTGTGAAACAATGTAAATGAAAATGCTCAGAAAAAGGAAAGCTGTCATTATCAGGAAACAAGCAATTAAACTTTCAAAGAATAGCTGTCAGTGTAAACTGAAGGTCAAAACCAGAGAATTACTTTCTTTATCTAATTTTCATAACAGTTCTTCCAATGAGGTATGTCAGTTAATGCTGAAGTATTAAGAAGCTGGCTAAACACTGGTGCCCAACACTCCTTCAAAATACACCATCAAAACCCAGAAGACTAAAAATAAAAATCAAGAAATATATTTATTTGTTCAGAGATCTTTGAAATTACTCAACTATCAAAAATCATAAACAAACTGCATAGAAGAAAACACTGAAAAAAACCCAAAAGGTTGAGAGAAAGGGCCTGAGAATTCCAACTCATCATCCAGTTATGGACTGGAACTTGAGCAGTGAACTGTGAATCTAGGGTCTTTCTGTTGTAGGTCGGTGAGGACCTGCCTGGGTGTAGAGTGGTGGCAGCAGCAGCATCAGTGGTAATTATAAATATACCTTTAGTGATGACAGTTTTTGATTGGGTTGTCTTTTTCTCAATTATAGCCTAACTGAGAAGTCAGTTAAGAGCTCTGTTTTAAAAACTCTACTTTAAAAAAAATTTGGAGCCAGTTGTGATGGTGTATCACTGCAACCCAGTACCCAGGAGACCGGGAAGGAAGGTTTTGAATTCAAGGCCCTGAGATATATAGCCAGACCCTGTTTCAAAAAAAACCAAGAGAAAAAACTACTAAACAAATGAAGTTTTTAAGAAAATCTGCATCTGAAGAAACACAAGATGGTTACGTAACTCAGTATTTTCCTATAATGACCTTCCTCCTGCTAGCTATATTCTGTAAATTGAACAGTTAACACATTTTACTTTAAGATTCAATACATTTTCTTCTTTTTAAGTGAAACTATTCACTGTTTCCTTTTTCCTTATCAAACATATAAGAGTATGTGTAACCCTCAGGTAATAAATGACTTTATCATGTTTGCGGAAATAACTGGAATTAAACTGAATGATCAGAAACAGCTTGTTTCACTGGTGAATTTCTAACGACACACCCACACGGTCACCCAAGCATCACTCGGTGTTGGGAGGGCAAACAAAGCAGCTGTGGGAAAATGTGCATGTGATCTGCACAGAGCAAAGTGAACTGGAGGTGTGGCTCAAGCGGTAGAGTACCTATTTCACCAAGTATGAAGTCCTGAGTTCATACCCCAGTCCTACCAAAAAAAAGAGTCAGTATACAATGCTGATGGGATTATCCTCCTCAGAAAGAATGTTGGAAGGGCACGGAGGGTGGCACTCACCCTTGATGGGACAGCTAGAGTAAAGTCCTGGTTGACTTAAAATCTAGGCATCTTCCTTCCCCTTATATTTGGTGCGGAATTTTCGTATTTTAAAAAACAATACCAACATGCACTATCAGTGAACTTCACTTGTTTTTAGCTTAAATATGTCTTTTCCCTTCTCCCCTGAAATAATGACCAAAGAAATTCTATACTCTTGCCCAAACCCCAGGATTCATGCAGAGTTTCTTATGTCCACAAAACAATCTTCTGAACAGCTAACCTCAGTAACTTTTTTTTGGTGGTACATGTCCCCAGCCCTTTCTGGCTTTATTTTTCAGATAGACTCACAGGATTTTGTGCAGGGCTTGCCTTGGACCATGATCCTCCACATATGCGTCTCAGGTAGCTGGGATTACAGCCTTGTTAAGAGGCTGGCCTCACACTGTTGGGCAGAGGGGGCAGTCAATACTGCTCAAGGACTGTTTTGTAAGAACAGGGCTCATTCGGTACTCAGGAATGGGTCTCTTTCCACCAGAAGGAAACAGAATTACAGCTAAAGGCCAAGCCTACTGCGTAAGCAGAAGAAATGGACATAAGTATATGAAAACTCACTGACAGAATTCAATCAAAGACGGAATGCAACGCCACTCCTTTACATTCACTAGGCAACACGAGGCGGGTACTAGCAGTCAATGCTGGCCGGGCATGGGAAACACGAATACTCTGCAGTGCTGCCGAACCAACAACTCGAGCTAAGGCTGAAACTGGGAGGATCACAGTTCAAGGCCATCCTGGGCAAGTAGTTCATGGGACTCTATCTACAAAATACAACCAGAGCAGGGGGCTGGGGCATGGCTCAAGGGGGGATAGCACATGCCTAGCAAGCATAAGATCCTGAGTTCAAACCCCTGTACTATCAAAATAATAATAATAATAGTAATAAAATAACTAGAGTGAAATGGATGGGAAGTTTGGCTAAAGCACTAGAGCATGACGGAAAAAAGTTATGACACACATTCCTGAGAGATTCTGTTCACCCACCATTAAGACCCATGTGCAGTGTTCACAAGATGCTGTTAAACAGGAAAAAGTCACGTACACAACAGAGAGTCTGGAATGATCTCTCATCTGTCTAACTGACAGAATGACAGAGAGATGGACACATTTACATTCACAATTTAAGAAAGAAAGAAAGCTATACCCCAAGTCCAGGGACAGCTCTGAGGAGATGGGGCTAAAACCAGGGAACTGAATGTGCCAACCAACATTAAAAAGTGAGTGCCAATATCACAACTAGTAAGGGACAGTGTCCATCTCTTCCACTTAGATCCTCAACGGGTAAAAATCCTCCTAAAGTCATCAATACTGTCATTTTCTTAATCTCCTTTACAGCTCTATCACCCACACAAGCATAATTCCTAAATATTTTACTACAGATGCTCTTGACTTTTATGATAGGCTAACGTGAGATTCTGAGACTTATTTTTTTGTTGTAATTCATTTGTATTGCAAAAACAACCAACACTACCATCCACCCACCCATCCTGTTTGTGTGTGGGGAACTTCTGTTTGTACCATGTCAAAGTGTTGCTCTGGACACTCTTCTACAGGCCTCAGAAGACAGGTACTGGGTTTCTCTGGTGCACAGTCAGAGGCAGAGATGCTGGGTTACAAGGGACACACAGGTTCAGTCTTCAAGATCAGCAGAATTACTCTCCAGGATGGTTTTAACAATGCAAACGGCCACATTTTTACCAAAGCCTGGGCATTGCTACCCCAATATCCACTCAATGCACCCACGCTGTTTAATCTCTACAGTGGTAGACCAGTCTTGCTAAAAATTACATACTGGTTTCCCATAGGGGAACAAGAAACACTGAGGAAGAACAAAAGGACAAACCAACTCTGAAAGACAAGTCAGTATGCTTGCTCACCACAGCTCGTCTTCCTGTTTAAAACTACCCAGGTGCTCGTTTCTCCACCCTTACCTGACAGTCCTCACTCCGGATCCTTTCCTGCTTCTCCTCTGGCCACAATAGCCAATACAAATTTCCCATCACAAAATCTCCTTTCAGTTCTCTATCATGAATTCTCGCAATGCTTGGGAGAGCCATTCTCAAAGTTAATTACGGCCTTCTCTAAACTTCCTGAACTCTAAGTATTCTCGTATTTATTTTCCTCATGAACCAGTGCTATGTCTGCATGTGCCCCTCATCACCACTTCCATAGTACCAGGAAGTGGGGCTGCAGGGA